TGAAGATTGTATCTCCTCGAAGAAGAAAAGGTGCCGTGAAGCGAGAGTCATCTCCCACGCACCCGCATCGACATCCAGTCGAGCAAATACCACACACTGTCTCCCACGCACAATCTCGCACTGAACGAAAGGGTGGAAGCGGTCCACAAGTCGGTTGCGGAATCGTAGAACCATGCTTGAAGCGGCCAGAGACCAGTAACTGAGATTACTTTGTCATACTGGAACTTGGGTGTAGCGGATTGCCAACCAGGTAGTATGACCTGCAGGGGCTGTAGGAAAAGCAGACCAAGATTGGTCCATGGTGAGGGAGGAGCAGCACAGCACTAGAGGTTGTGATGTAGGAAGACCAGCGAGAACTTGGTGCTTCTAGCTGAAGATTTGTGCGTGATTGCCAATCTGGCCATTTGGAGCCAGCGTCTCTTATGAAAACCATGGAGACAAACTGCAAGAGTGGTGGTGACATGGTTGTAGTGCTTTGCCAGTAAGTAATAAGCTTTTAAATTTTATATTTTTATGTAGAACAAAAATAAATGAATATATAAAGGATAATAATTTTATATTAGAACATAAATAAGAGGCTAAAATGATTGTAAATGTAATTTAAGAATCAAATATTTAATATTTATTTTTCATAATAACTCCACTCATAAAACATAACATATGCATATTTATATTCCTGCTTGAATTCAAAATTTTGGGGTATTATAACCTAAAAGTTGAAAACTCTGCAAGTTCATTTGAGTAGGGTTTTGCAAGAATTACTTTTCTCAACTACGATGTCAATAATGAAATCCAAGAAAATAAAGATTAACTCTAAGCTTCAACCTACTTCTTTTAATATGGTTAAGATTGTTTAACTCAAAAGACTTACCATAAACAAATATAGAAATATAAATTATGTTTAATTGATTGTGTCATAGAAAAATTTTATTATTGCATTGCAAAAAGAAGTATTTAGTATGGGAAAACCAAATCTTTTTTAAAATATTTTTCTTCTCAAATAGGTTTTATTTACAAATTGAAAATTAAATTGAAAATGATATTGAGAATGATATTTTGCTGAGCAAAACCAAAGTGGTAATCAAGAGCAAAATGCCAACATTGATAATGTCAGTGAAGTAAAATGTACAAAAGTTTCAAATTCAGATGGTTTAGCTTTTTCTTTTTCTTTTTTAGATTGGCTCTAATATAAAAATTATACTTTTATTTTTTCTTAACGTCATTAGGGTATGAACTAAATGTCATACAGTTATATAAGCAATTACTCATGAGCTATTATAGAGTTTATTTTATATATTTATATATATATATATATATTAAATAATAAGGCTGCAGAAACAATTTCCATTTGCAATGATCACAAACAACTTAGCTGCATAAACCAGAACCTTTTGAAATAGACATGGGTGACAACAAACCATGCTACTGAACAGACTTACATATTTTGGATCATTCTAATTCTAATAGCAAATTCAAGGTGATGTTGCCCCCACCCATGTTTTGCATCAACATTCGTGAACAGTTCTCCAACATCCCAGTCTGGAATTGGAGCTGTTGTAAACACTGTGTACACATTTTATTCCTTGAAGCCCATGTAAAAGCCCCCCAGAACTTGCTCTCTAGAACTGGCGAAATGGCGCGAAAGATATAAACTAGCCCCTATGTGAAATTTTAGGGCTTATCCAATCCAATGCTGCTGTGTGGATTGCTCCCGGCTCCTCGAGGATTCTGGGCGCCGGGGCTAGCATCGCGGAGGCAGAAGCGCACGGCTGCAGCAACGGCATTCTTTGCTCCGGTATGTCATCGATCGATTTGATCCATTAACATTTTGATTGCCAGGCTTTTGCGTCGCGGCCATACACGGCTGTGCTGATCGTCCCGACTGGAACTGGGGCCTGCATTGGCGGATACGCAGGCGATGCTCTCCCCGTCGCCAGAGCTCTGGCTTCCATCGTCGATTGTCTCATCACACATCCAAATGTAAGTGTCTAGAAAATTTCTAAGCTAGAGAGCTTAGCTTTTTTGGCTTAGGTGCTGAATGGAGCTATGCTTTACTGGCCGATGAGCAACGCCTTGTACGTCGAAGGCTACGCTCTCGATCGGTTTGCCGCTGGTGCCTGGGGTCTCAGCCCCGTCCACCGGAACAAAGTCGGTCTCGTCCTCGACGCCGGGATTGAGCAGGATTTGCGACTGAGACATCTACAAGTGGCTGATGCTGCTGCTGCAACTCTTGGAACTTCGATTTTCGAGCACGTCGTCACTGACGCATCACTCCAGGTACTGCTTATAGCTCTTAGCATTTTTCTTCCTTTCTTGCTTTCAAGGCCAAAGACGACTCGAAAATATATATGCCAGGTTGAGAAGTGGATCGATGGCAAAACCGGTGCTTCTACTGGTCGCATTGCCCGCTCTGATTCTTTGCTACGAGCTGTAGAGAAACTTGTCAGAGATGCTGCGATCGATGCTGTAGCCGTGGTAGCACGCTTTCCAGACGACGATGTGGAGGTGTTGAAAGACTATAGGCAAGGTCAGGTATACCATTCTTCAGTTTCAAAGACCTCGTGACGAAACTAAACTATCCTCGAAACAGGGTGTCGATGCTCTGGCTGGAGTCGAGGCTGTGATTAGTAAAATGGTGGTGAGTGAGTTTCACATCCCTTGCGCGCACGCACCAGCATTGGCTCCTTTGCCATTCGATTCGTCTGTTTCTCCTAGATCTGCCGCGGAAGAGGTAAGGACGCTGTTCTTCTCTTCTCTTAAAGCTCAATGTATGTTGCTTCCAGATTGGATACACCTTTCTTCCTAGCGTTCTCGCGGGATTAAGCAAGGCTCCTCAATATGTTAGCAGGGACAGCGATCACAGACCTCACCGGATATGGGCCGAGGACGTCGATGCAGTGCTAGTGCCGGTGAACGCCTGTGGAGGCGACGGAGTTCGTGCATTCAGTAAAAAGGCTCGACAAAAGGTACGTCATTTATAAACAGTTCCTTACTAGTGCGCGCCAATCCTGATTCTCGTTTCTCGTGCCACAGCCTCTGATTATTGCTGTGGAGGAGAACGTGACCGTCTTGAATGACACTCCGGAGAAGCTACAAATCGAAGCAGTAAGAGCTTTTCTTTCTTTGCAAATCGTCCTCTTGAAATCATACTTTTGTTCAGGTGAGAGCAGCCAACTATTGGGAGGCTTTAGGTGTTGTTGCGGCCCACAAAGCGGGGGTGAATCCCATGGCACTCAGAAGAGATGGAGTTCTCCACAACAGGGAAGTCAAGCTTCGACAGGTAGAGAGACTTTGTTCTTCCAGGCAATGAGATGATTCTTTTGCAGAAAACAAGGACACTAAGCTAGACTTTACGAAGCGATTCTTAACGGTTTGTGCTTCCTTTCTTGTAACTGACACTCAAATTTATCGTTTGCTCCTGTCACTACTTCAAGACTAGAGATAAAGAACTATACACCCAACTTTTGTGTACGAACTTAGAGACGTATCCGAAGGATTTCTTTGATCTGGCAGAGATGGTGATGAGCGCATTTGCAGGACAGGGTGTCGGTTTTGGTAAGTCCATGAATCTCAATTTCCATCATTCCGCAATGGATAACTCCGCAATGGAACTTCAAGCAGGTATTGGAATTGGGTGTGGTTTTGGGATTGGATGGGGATTCGGAGGTATACGTATTCCTCTACATCTTCTCTGTTTTCTTAGATTTTCAAGCTCAATTGCAGGAGTGTCGATACCAACAATGGGACTCGGCATAGGTGAGTGAGATCTCTCACGTTTTCTAATACTTTGCTTTGAAGGTGGTGGATGTGGGGTGGGGATTGGGCTTGGCTGGGGATTTGGAGCAGCGGCACTTGGATCCCAATACTTTAACGCCAAGAACGAGTTCGATCCAGCCACCACATATCCACAAGATAAGTCTGACAAGCACAAACAAAAGCCTTTGACCCAGTCAAAGAGTCAATGAGAGCGCGAGAAAGTCAACCCTCTATAAATTGGATAGATTTAAAAGCTGCCATGGTAGAATTGCGGCTGACTTGCTTCCACGAAGAGAGAAATCTCTGTCTCTACACAGGCCGCAAGGGTCTCGTGGTCGCGATTCACTGGCATTCACTCACCGACACCCAACCAAACCAGATAAAACGCGGTTGACCCCCATGTCAACGCGCGTCAACGCGACGATCATTTCCCTGGGCTCTATAAAACATTGCTCGATCCTCCAAATCCAAGCATTCCTTCCAGGCCCCCTTTTCCCTAGATCTTTCTCGCGTATTGCATCACAGCGTTTGTTTGTCAGGAGAGGAAGTCTCCGTCTCCAAGGAGGAAACTACAAAATGGCTCTTTCCAAGGCCTTGCAGCAGCTCCTGGCCGTGCTGCTACTTCTCAATCTCGCCTTCTTGCTCGTGTCCAGCGCCAGAGATCTCGCCGAGAACCCCGAGAAGGACGAGGAGCTCAAGAACAACGACGCCGCTACAAAGTCACTCCACCACGATGACGACGATGGTTATGGACGAGGAGGCTATGGCGGGTATGGGCCGGGATACGGCGGGTACGGGCGTGGTGGTGGCTATGGGCCGGGGTATGGTGGTGGTGGCTATGGACCGGGATATGGTGGCTATGGGCCGGGATACGGTGGTGGGTACGGACCGGGCCATGGCGGATACTATGGACCCGGCTATGGTGGCTACGGACCTGGGTACGGATATGGGCGTGGAGGATACGGACGCGGTGGAGGGTGGCACCATGGACACGAGGTGGATCAGCCATGAATGATCAAAGGATTATACTACTTTGTGTGCTTTGTAATATTCCTTCCCGCTCAAATATTTGAATTTGAAAACGTTGGTTTGAAAATTCCCGCGGGATGTTTCCATGAATTTGATCGTTTGATTTTTCCGAGTTTTAAGACCAAGGACCAAGACCAGGACCAAAGACGTGATCTAGACGGCAAGAGTCCGTGTGATGGATGCTTTAAATGTGAGCTCTCTTCTTCGTGAGATCCAGTGGAAGCAAGACTTAGAAAGAGGGCATTCTGGAATTGTGAGAAATTAAGATGGCTTTTCCACGCACCTCCTTCGTCTTGCTAGTGATGCTTTGGGCGATTGCTGTTCGCGGACAAGATTGCAATGGTTTGGTGACGACGGTGGTATCGCAATGCTCGGGTTCTTACGTGAATGGAAGCCCTCCCAGCGCTGGCTGCTGCGGAGCCGCTAGAGCGGTGTCGGACGGGTGTTTGTGTCCCAAAGTCACGCCCCAGATCGCCGATGCGGTCAACAAGCAACGTATCCAGGCCATGGCATCGGCTTGCAATAGGCCCTTGCCAAGAACTTGTGGAGGTATGAAACAAGCATCTTTTCGGGCTGATCTAAGATTACTCTGTGCATTTTGCAGCTCTACAATTCCCAAGTCGAAAATAATTTGATGTCTATGATTTATAAATGATGAAGTTATTGAATATATCGTCCGAGTAGCTCATAGTGGATGAACCCGCCGTGAAAGGATCCGTGGCGCAAGTCTGACTCCAGATCAGAAGGTTGCGTGTTCGAATAACACATGATGACGTGTTTTAGACTCGATTAAAATCATAACATGGCATTGCCGCGGAAGCTTCGTCCCACCACGGACGAGCTCTGCGCAGATCTCCATTTGCTTCGTCTTCTCCTCTTCCTGCCACCTTTAGCTGCCCTCGTTCTTTCACTCCTGTTGCCGCGCTTCTCGCACCTCCCGCCTCTTCTCGGCCGCGGACAGCTGGCACCTCTGAACTTGTCTCTACAGTCTTGGAGTGATCGAGCACCACTCTTGCATTTGTAGACCGATGCGCTGGCGTCAAGGAGTGTTCCAACACCGAGTGGTCCCAGTATCAACCTTACCGCGTCGCAAACCCTAAACCTCCATGACGGACTTAAAACATTCTCATTGTCATTAAAAAAAATTACATGATGTAAACTCAACGCTACTGCACTAAAGTTGTTACAATGTCTCTCCTCCAAGAAAACTAGTTGTAGTACAAACCTTTCATATCAAAAGAGCAACGCAGTAGTAGCAAGTGCAGCTGGCAAAAATCCACCAAAGAAACTCTCACCAAACTTCCGGGTGTCGGACCTTTCCGCCAGTGGACCTTCTGCGGCGACTGGGGCCTCGGCACTAGTCCCATTTTCGGCTGCCGGAGACGAGCTCGAGGAGCTCGACGAGGAGGAATTTGATGAGCTCTGCACGGGAGGAGGAGACGTAGCCACGGGTGGTGGAGAAGGAGAAGCCGCGGGTGGTGGTGGAGAAGGAGAAGACGAAGGCGAAGGTGGTGGAGCCGGCTTTGGAGCCGGAGCTGGCGCTTGAACAGCCTTTGGTGGTGGAACGGTGGCCGGAGGAGTAGGCGACGGTGCAATGCTGGCGGGCAGCGTGGAGTGGAGTGGGAAGATCTCGGGTGGAAGAAGCACCGCGTCGAGAGCATACACCCCGACTGGATCGTCCTCCAAGAGAGTGGCAATCACGTTTGCGGTGGACACCCCGGTCACAATCGCCAGTCCCCCGGAAGGCCCCTCGCCGCTGGCATTCACTTCAAAGTTCCTGTTAGACGTGGCCAGCATCGTGAGTGGAGCTTTCAGCGTCCGGAGCAATCCAAACGTGAAGAATGACGGCAGGAGATGGTAGCGGACGATCTAGCTTTTGCATCGTCTAGATCTAGCTTTTTCCATTTCCTTTCTTTTGTTCTTCCCTTTCAGGATTTTGGTTTAGATCTAGCTTTTTGCATTGTCTAGATCTCCCATTTCCTTCTCATTTTTTGTCATTTCTCTTCTTTTGCTCTTTCTTCATCCGTCTTCATGGCAGATCAGCAATCTCCTCCTTTGACTCTAGAGCAACAATTAGTCCAATTTCTTGATGCTATGCGCTTGCAATTGAACAACCAAACTCAATTGATGGTGGCATTCACGGCACGTGGTCCAACTCCTCCTGCTCTTGGTGCCAATCCTCGCGTTCGGCCGGAGTTCTATTGTGGGAATCCTGGGGATGATGTGTACCATTGGTTCAATCACTTCACGGTGATTGCCACATATCATTCTTGGGATGATGCTCGACGTTTGCGTGAGTTTCCCACGTATCTCCAAGGGATGGCATTGTAGTGGTACAATGGATTGAGTGCGGCCACTCGTGGGGATTGGAGTGTTCTTCCGGACGTCTTCAAACGCGCCTTCGGACATGCCGATGATTGTGACGATGCCTTCCAACAATTGCATCGTCTTTGCCAAGGGCCATTTGAGTCGGTGATGCAATTTGGCGTTCGTTTCCGAAGTCTTTTGCTTCGTGCGGAGCCCAATATGTCGGAGCGGATCAAGCTAGGAATGTTGTGGCTAGCACTTCGTCAAGATCTTGTCAGCCTTGTGCATGCACTTCCTCTTGCCACCCTTGACGATGCTCTTCGCTTGGCACAACGTTATGAGACATCGCCTCTTCCACTTCTTGCTGCACGTTCTTCAGCTCCACTTCCTATGAGTGATGGTCCTGTTCTAATGGAGGTTGATGCTGCTGCTACTCGAGTCCAAGGACAAGGGCAAGGAAGTGGTCGTGGCCGTGATGTTCGTTGCTGGGCGTGTGATGAAGTTGGTCATACTTATCGGTGTTGTCGGTGCTTTCCGGATTGGCGACCTCCATTTCCTGGGTGGAGACCTTGGCGTCAGCAATGTCCCGTTGGTGCTACTGCGGTGGAAGGTTTTGACACCGAGATGCATCCGGGAAACGAGGAGTCGCATGAGTAACGGAGGGACCTTGTGCGAATAAGTTAATGACCCCTCCATCTTTCTTTCGGGAGTATTATCAAGGGGTTCACTGGGCACCGGTTCATCCAGTATTTACTTTCCAAGCTCGTTTTTATAACAAGAGGTCTTCTATTATTCTCTCTGTGTTGGTTGATACAGGTTCGAGTTTATCTTCTATTGCTCGACCTGTTGCCACACGTTGTCGTCTACACTTGCGTCGTGCGGCGGATCCAGTTTTCATTCTTTATGGCAACGGCCGTATGCATGCATGTGCACGAGATGAGGCGGACCTGGTTGTGCGTGTGGGCAATCTCGAGCTTGAGTTGTAGTCATTACGGGTGGTGCCAAGTCAAGCTTTTGACCTCATTCTTGGTATGGATTGGTTGCAGCACAATCATGCCAAGTGTGACTTTGAGACTTCTCCCCCTTGTCTCATACTTCCTTATGTTTCATCCATTCCTCTCACTTCCGTATCTCTTCGTCCCTCTACCTCTACCTCTGCTTCCATTACTTTTGTTCCCCCACTATTTCCTCCTATGTTTCCATCTTGTTTTGCTCTTCCCTTTTCCGATCCCTCCGATGATCTTTGTGTTGCAGCTGTTGACCAGCTCATGAAGGAGTATTCTGATCTCTTTGAATTTGACCTATCATCTGGGGCCAAGATTGCCACACGTCATCCGATTCCAACCGGGGATGCTCGTCCAATCAAGGTTCCTGTTCGTCGTCGGTCACCCAAGGAGATTAAGATTTTACGTGCAAACGTCAAGGAGATGTTGGAGAAGGGTGTTATTCGGAAGTCGCGGAGTCCTTGGGCATGTGAACCTCATCTTGTGACGAAACCTAATGGGAGTATTCGTTTCTGCATCGACTATCGTTCATTAAATGAAGTGATGATCCCGGATGTGTACCCTCTTCCTCACACTGCTGATCTCTTGGATCGTCTAGGGCAAAGTCGTTGGTTCACCAAGCTAGATCTTGCTTCTGGGTACTAGCAAGTACCAATGGCTAAAGAAGATATTCCTAAGACTGCTTTTCGTACACCGTTTGGTTTGTACGAGTTCTTGGTGATGCCGTTTGGTTTGAACAATGCTCCAGCAACTTTCCAGCGGATGATGGACAATGTTCTTTGTGATATGCCAAAGGTGACTACTGACTTCATTGATGATGTCTTGATTCACTTGGAGGGGACATGGGAGGAGCACGTTCGTGATGTTTGTAAAGTGTTGGATTGGCTACGCGATGTTGGTTTAAAGCTGAAACGGTCGAAGTGCGTGTTTGGGTCCAAGGATACAACTTATCTTGGGTACCGTATTTCTCGTGAGGGTTTGCAAGTTGATCCTGACAAACTTGTGGCTGTTCTAAAGTTCCCTACTCCGAAGTGTGTGAATGAGGTGCAGTGCTTTTTGGGCAAGGTGCAGTATCTCGGTCGCTTTGTGGATCATCTTTCTGATCACATTGCACCATTGCGAGCGTTGTTGAAGTCATCAACATCATCTTTCATTTGGTCTCCGGATTGTGAGCGGGCGTTCGAGGATCTCAAAGAGCTATTGACAACTCCTCTGGTTTTGGCATATCCTGACTACACTCGACCTTTTATTTTGTGCGTGGATGCTTCTGACATTGGTTTTGGAGGTGTGTTGATGCAAGAGAGCTCGAGTGTGCCTAGTCAGCGCCATCCCATTGCATATATAAGCCATACATTACAACCAGCGGAAATGAACTACTCCACGACAGAGAAGCAACAGCTTGGGGTTTCGAGAAACTTCATGCATATCTACATGGTTCTCGAACGTTACTTGAAGGTGATCATGCTGCTGTTACTTCATTATTGAAGCGGAAGAACCTGGTTGGTCATATTGCTCGATGGGCTTTGAAGCTTCAGATATATAATTTTGATGTTGTTCATCGCCCAGGGAGTTCTTTGGCTGATGTTGATGCCCTTTCTTGAGCTCCTCTTCCTTCTCCATTCTTTTATCATGTTTCTGACGAGCCTTTTGTTCCAGCCTCTGTGGATTTTCTAGATGAGGATTCTATGCCGTCGGCAGTTGCTATACTTGACATTTAGTGTCCACAAGGTGCAGAGCAAGATCTACCTTCTCTTGATGAGGTTCGTGAAGCTCAAAAGCTTGAGCTGTGGATTCGAAGGCTTCGAGATGGGTTTGAGAATCCTGCATCACTTGCTGATGACTTGCCTTTCCGGCATTTACATTCTCAATATCACCTCGAAGACAACCTTCTTTATTTTGTGGGGACGGATCCTGATGATCATTTACGGCTGGTGGTGCCTTCTATCTTTATTTCGCAGTTTCTCCATGCCTACCATGATTCTCCTGTTCTAGGTGGGCATATGGGACATCGTCGTGTAATTGAGAAGCTGCACAGGTCTTTCTATTGGCCGGAGATGCGACGTAATATTATCCGGTATGTGCATAGCTGTGTTTGGTGCCAAGCTCGTAATACTCCCCCTTGGGCTGTGGAAGGACGGTTGGAGTTAATTGCAATTTCCCGTCCATTTGAGTTGGTGGCGTTTGATCTTATGGGACCTTTTCCATAGTCGACTGCTGGCAATGAGTATGTTATTATTACTTCTGACTATTTGACTCATTGGGTGGAAGTTGGTGCTCTTGCTAGTGCCTCTGCAACTGCTGTTGGATACTTTCTCCTCAATCGAGTGGTGTTCCAGCATTTTTGTCAAGAGCAGATTCTTTCGGATAATGGTCCCGCATTTGTGGTTGAGGCATTTCATGTTTTGACGTCTTGGTTGGGGATACGCCACAGTTTCACGAGTGCTTATCATCCACAATCAGATGGTCTGGTGGAATGGCTCGTTCGGACATTCAAGGGGATGATTGCGAAGTATGTGAACTTTCAGCATTCGGATTAAGATGGTTATTTGCCGTCTCTTCGGTATGCATATGTCACAGGGGTGCAAAGTTCTGTTGGTGCTTCACCATATAAACTTTTATATGGTCATGATCCAATATTACCAACGGAGCTGGGTTTACCTTCACGATTGCCACGAGCTGCAGATGCTAGGTCGTGGGATCAGTATTTGACGAGCATTCTTCCACTTGTCCGAGCGGAGTTTGCCGAACACTTAGGTCACGTACAAGTGGGACAACAACACGGTGGTACAACTCCCATCATCGTCCACCTGCGGAATACAAAGTGGATGATTTGGTGTTAGTCCGTTTTCCCCATCTTACGGTACGTGGTTTATCTAAGGGGCTTCTTGCGCAGTGGAAAGGACCGTATCGGGTGTTGCGGCAAGTTGGACCTCAAGTTTATGAGGTTCAGCATGATGTCCAGCAAGCCGATCCTCCAGAGATTGTGCATGTGCAGCGGTTGAAATGCTTCATACAAAAGGATCAAGAGCAGTTAATACCACCTACAAATCCATTGATGCCTCCTCCTGATGTTCCTCCAGATCCCGGCCCATCTACAAGAGAACCCTGACAGTCTTCCATTATTCCGAGAGGAGGGGATGATGTGAGGGCCAAGTGTATGGCTACGATGTTGTATATTAATATTAGTGTAGTGGGATTTTGGTAGCCGTTGGATTGGTTTCAATCCGGACTACTCGCTCCTGTATATAAGTTAGGGTTTTTGGGTTAATTGATATGCACATTTCTGTATTCCCTTTCTATATTCCAATCACTCACGCTATAAAATAAATTTTAAGTTAAATCACACTATTTTTCAATAAAATAATGTAAGTATGACTAAATTAAGTTCAATCTTTAAGCAAGCCAACCAAACCACCTTAAAGCGTTTCAGCCTTAAATCCCAAATATGAGCAATAGCAAATACTGATCAAAAGTCCCAGCCTTAAATCCCAAATATGAGCAATAGCAAATACTGATCAAAAGTCCCAAGAAGCATGGATGTTGTTCAGGGAAACTGTCATAAGCCATACCAAAATAGCAGGATGCTAAGATCGGTAATTGAAGCCAAACACGGTAAAAGTAGCTGTGAAGTACAGAACAACACTGCATAGGGTGGAAAATCACTCGTAAAAAAGAACTATTTTATCTGCTTTAATAATGTCCAGTACTTTGGACATGTCGGGTTCAAATGCACAGCCGCCTGTAGCCATGACCACCAAGTTCTATCGTCCTCGGGGCATCTCTCGCCTTGCTCGCCCCCTACTTGCTGCTTGGATAGTAAAGCCATGAGGAAAAACATCTCTGCTGGTACTGGATGTTCTGTAAGAAACGAGGAAATCAACGAAAGCAACAATGACACACTTGTGTAGTAGTACCTGTCGTAGGCCATGCCAGGAACGCTGCTCGCAGGTGCTTGGCCCATTTTTTTACCACACCTGCCCGATTCGATCCATCTTTGCTGCCGCTTGACTCGGCTTGAGCTAGAAGAGCGTATGCTGTCGGAAGCTCTCTACCCTTGTCTCGCACCGCTTTTCCAAGGCTTGAAACAGCCTTAGATGCATAGCTGGCTCCCTTCCCCGACTTTGCCAGCTCCAAAGATACCGCACCTTTACAAAGTAGCGCGGGTCAGTTCAATCGATCAAAACTCATGCCTGTTAACGTACCATGGAAGAGACACAGCACTGGATTGTTTGGCCACCATAGCAATGCATTGGCTGCAGCATCCTCTGATAGCTCTGGCTCACCCCTTTGATAATAGAGGCGCGCTAGCATCACTTCGAGAAGTGCTAACCATCCTTGCTTGGACTGCTGCAACGAATGCCTAAGCCTGAGTAACACACTGTCGTCCTCTTTGATCACTCCACAGCATAGCTGCAACTCCAGCAATGACAAGTGCCAAAGAGCATTGTCTCGTTTTACATCTGTTTGCTGCTGCCACCCTGCCACTGCTCCTTTTACGAAATGAGACAAGTCGTTGAGTAGACGATAGCAGCGAGCGAGCTGGAGGTACGCAGGAGCCGCATTGAGATCTGAGAACCCCTTGATGGCGTTGAGAGATGCCACGGCTCGGTCAAGAGCGCAAGTGTAGTTGCCGAGCCTCAGCTCACTCTCCGACACACAAAGCTCTATCTGCATTCGCATGTAGGCAGCCTGACGATCAGAGGAAGAAGGGAGATGGTACAGAGTAGTTGTCGATATTCGTAGTATAGTATGGCAGAGATGACGAGGAAAGCCTTGTCTTCGCGCACCACCAAGCAAAACCAGTATCAAGCAATATCGTGCCTTCATGTTCCAGGGCTCGCGGTGAACCACCCTGCAAAGACAGCAAGTGTCAAATGTGAAACGACGGGATAAAACCTTCACCTCTGCAGCTGAAGGAGTATTTCCGTGCCATATTGACCGCACGCAACCGTAGCATCAACAAGAACCAACGAACTCAACTTCTGCGTCAGCCTGTCATCTGAAATCAGAGAGCTCATGCTGCACAATCGTTCCACCAGGTTTGAAGTTGAACCATGATCATGAGAACCATGAGAAAGAATAATCTCTCCCAGCTTTGCTCTGCAAAGGAAGAGATGTTATTATAAGCGGCATCATTTTAGGAGGAAATGGAAATTTCTACCTCAAGCTGCCACTCGTGGGGTAACAATGCAGTGCTCTTTTCATGTCCGGAATTACCTCAGCCTGATAGCAAATCAACAGCTTCGCACATTAGAATGATAGAACGAAAAGCTCACCTGGTTCATTGATGCAATTAGCACGTACGCATCTGCTGCGTACTTTGAAGTGAATAGATAACGGCATCGACTAATGGCTGCAGAAATCCGATCTGTTCTACAGGTAGAGAGTGCTAGCGAAAGAGCCGTCAAGCAAAGTTCTTCGTCCGAAAAGAGTATGTCAGGAGCACTCCATAGAACGTCAAATCCAGGCACAGGTCCTTGGTTGAAGTATGTTAATTTGGAGAGAAGCACGAGCATAGCAGCGAACTGTGCTCTGCTGTCATGTGGTGTTCTTGTGGTTAGTGCCTTCTTTATGAGTACCTCCGCCTGAACTCCTTGACCCGAGTCCCTTAATGCGACAGCATAGCTTCGGATATCATCCAAGTCATGTAACGAACCTACACAACAAACAACAAATCTTGCAAGCTCGAACAAATATGTAAGGCTTTCTTACTGGAATCACGAAGCTTGTTATACTCCAGAACTGCATCCTCTGCATTTCCAGCCTGGACCCCCTGACAACAATCAGTATAGAAAGAAGAAGGAAAAGCTTCTGACCTTGCATAAAGTTCGAGCAAGATTCGCCGTAATAAGAGTCTGAAGCTCACTAGATAGTAATGCTTTTGTAGCTGCAGAACGGGAATTCCTATACGCTACAACAGCTGGCATGTAATCCTTTCTGGACTCACATGACAGCCCTCGCAGATTATGTGCTGCTGCTTGTAATGGCTGTCTTTGAGATGCATGTTGCAGAGCCAAATTCACCTGGAACAACCACAACATTACGAATTGACTCTACAGAGGATAAAAACACTGACCTGAGGTAGGCCAAGATCCTGCGTCTGCGCCGCTAGTTGGCCAACCCCGAGATGTACGTTAGGTGCCTGACATGAATTTATGAGATACAAAAAGAGACGAAGGAACAAGTTCATGCTTACACATGAGAGTTGCACAGCACAGGAACAGCTTGCGAACGCTTCTAAAGCCTGATCCTTCGAGGTAGTTCTACAAAAGGATGAAATGCGTGAGTAAGTAAGAAGATAACTTGAGAAAAGAATTAAAAAGAAAAACCTCTGGCTTAAATTATAATGGATGAGTGCCATTCCGGCCCATGGCAATGATAAAGTTGGATCTGCACTTCGAGCTCTATCGAATGATTGTTGCGCCAGGACTTGCTCACCCAAACTCAAATAGAGCTGCAAAGGCAAAGATAAATACACACAGCTTCGAGGGGACAGAACACGTACTTGGCCTAGATAAGCCCATGCAATTGCATGGTTTGCATCAAGTCGGAGAGCCTGAATAAGAGCATGCTGCCGGAGTCCTTTGTGTTGAGTGACGAGAGCTAGAGACACCCACATATCCGCGTTCGATCCATCGTGTTGCAAACCACAGCAGACAATAATTTCCGTTTCGAACCTGGCAGAATACGAGTCAGAGAAATGATAGAGAAAGTGGTTACCATCTTGTTTGTGAGGGTCTGGAAGGTTTCTTTAAATTCAACGTATACTCCATTGCGGTTGCAAGATCACGATACAGACTCCCTTCGCTTGGTAGCAAATGGATTGCACGTCGATACGCATGCACAGCGTTATTCGCAGCATCTACTCGTTCACTGTACCACGAGTCAACAGCCTCTTGCCAAGATCTCTGCGGATCTGCTGATTCAAAAGGCAACGACTGCGCGTACATCAACTGCAACAGGAAAAATAAGACAATAGAAGCACTACCAATGCGAATATTTACGCTTGCATCGCCAAGGTGCTTCCATATGGCAACCAAATGCCCATACATCGACCTGCTTCCAATGGCTAAATCAATTGCCTCCTGAGAGCCTTGAGTTAAAAAACTTTTGGCCTACTAGAGAAAACAGCTTACCTTCAAGATTGTAGCACACCACCAAAACGCACCCTGAGTAAAGCACTCCCGAGCTTGACCAAGTAAGGAAGATACGAGGCCATGAATAGCAATGAGCTCACCAGGAGAGATACGCAAGGCTTCACGATACGCTCGGGTGGCCTGTAAATAGTAGCTTTGTAAGAAAACGTGACCCGTAGAAGAACAAAACACCTTAGAAAATGCGGACAAGGCAAGGTCGATAGCTCCCATTTCAAGAGCAGCGAACAGGCTACTGTTGTCAAGGTCAAATGCACGACCAAAAGCCTAAGGATAGAACGTCAGCTCAGACGATAAAACAGAAATCGAGAACCTTCGACGCGGCAGTAAGCATGCCTAGCTTTTTATAAGACAGTGCTAGAGCCTGAACAAAACACAAGGATGTCACAGCTTAACCGACGGTTACATGGCTTACCTCCCAAAGGCGGGAATCAGTCGGATATCCGCGAAGACCATATTGCGTGCTCGATATTGCCTCTGACCACTTCCGTTCCGCTACCTGCGCGAAGTTTGAGCTGATGGCCAGAAGCACTATAAGGAGGCTCGCACCTGAATAAATCCAAGACGCCGCCATGCCCAAAATGCACGAGGTGATTTTTTTGAAGCCTCTTCACAAATGTTCTTTTCCATTGAAAACTGCCCCCCATGATCAAGGATGTCACAAAGCATTTCCTGAACAAGCTTATAAATGACGTCAGCATGGACAAAAGGACAGGCGATTGCTTACTCCCGTCGCTTCATTTTCGGCGTCCAAAGCCACAGCCTTTTGGTAGCAGCGAACTGCCCTTCGAAGATCTTTTGCAAGCTCTCTGTAGTAGTGGCCCAAGTAGATGAACGTATCAGCTCGACTGGGGTCAAGTTTTGCAGATTCAACAAATTCGTGTGCTGCTTTCTCCTTCATGTCTTCGGTTTCCCAATAAACGCGTCCCTGAAACGTCCATCTTTGTCATGGTAATACAGCACATTATGCATACCAAACGGTAGTGGTAAATAGCAGATTCCTGGCATGCAGAAACAGCATTCTCCAAGTCTGCCTTTGCTTGGTTGAAGGAACTGGTTTCGAAAGCGAGCCAACCTCTCTCAGAAAGTGCCCAGTGATCTTTAGGATCCTGTCGCAGAATTTGATCAAGCCTGGACTTTGCGACATCCCTTTCCTTCATAGCAAGTGAGAGCTTTACCAATCCCTGGGACGTACAGATGATTTAAGTACATAAACCTTTTAGAAAAGTAAACGAGTTAACCTGGAAAGCCTCACCAATGATAATTCTGCTTCGTTGTTCCGGCAGGGACTTGGCCTCCTGGATGGATTGCAATTTAGAAAAAGACATTGAAAAAAACCCGCAGAAATACCTCCGAGACATTCATAAACACACGAGCAGCCTCGTCGTGGTTCTGTTTGAGCAGAAGTAAGCCTCCAAGAACTAGGCGCAGGTCCAGTTCAGCTGCCTTCAGAACTAGTCCGTATGACCTTCGTTTGAGCGCTATAGAAGCTAGACCCTTTCCTACTCGCTCAGAAGCTTTCTCAAACAGCCCTTCGGACACAAGTTCTTTTGCCAGCATCCGACACCTGCTTAAACGCTTAGGATATAGAAAACAAACAAGAGAAGGTATACATACCCAGAGATTGAGTTTTCGTCACATGAAACATCCCACTCTGCCAGCATCTTCCTGCAAAAGAACTGTTGGTCAGTACCGATCGCCGCTAGAGCTGCCTTTCACCTAGAAGTTTTACACTTGGATGAAGCTAGTGTGATACCCCTTCCAGGATATAGATGAGCAACGTGCTTTCCGATCCAGACACGAAAGCTCGCTTCTCCCGTTTCAAAATCCTCGAAAAGTTCTTCCGCATCGTCCTCTTCAGCCATGGTCACAAGCACATCGGCCGCCATTGTCGAGGGACAAGTTGATAGCATTTCTCGGGAGTGCTTCAAGAGATCCTTTTTCGTTTGCTCCCCTGGAAAAAAAGCTCCTGTCAGCGAGACCGTCAGAAGATTTCCACTGGGCGGTACCTCGACGAGCTTTGCAAGCAAGAAGTGCCAACAAAAGTTCCCGGTAGATCTCAACGTAAGGTAGCATGGAGACAAGCTCTTCAAGGTGTGACACCATAGCTTGTGTTTCTTCCTCTCCAGTTGCTTCGCATTCTTTCGCTCCTTTGCCAGCTGCTATGTGCGCGTCCACAATTCCAGAGAGGGCCTCAACCCGTTGCTCTCGACTTACTTCCATGTCGAGAACTTGGCCCCAAGCAGCTTTCGCTTGATCGTGCTTGTGTCCAGCTGAGAATGTCCGTGCAAGCTTCCGCATCAAATCCGCCGCAAGCGCACTCTGGTTCCGCGCCCTGGCCACATCCAGAGCTGCTTGGATCGATTCGGCGAGCAAATCTGGTGAGCTTCCCATCGATTCCCGCAGCTCGACCATAGCCTGCTTAATCCCTAGTGGAACTCTGGACGAATCTAGCAAGCAATGCTTACCTGGTACGCCGGCAATGCGGATGGATCGAGAGAGATGGCCTTCTTGAGCGACATTTCGGCCTGATCCAGATGCTGCGAGCTGCGGACGAGCGCCAGGCCGAGGACCACGAATCCATCGTAGTTGCGGCGATCATGCTTGAGTAGCTGCTTGCAGAGCTTGACAGCGTCGGGGAATCGACCATCGCCCAGCGCCTGCCGGGCTTCCTCCATGCCCAAGCCCTAAATATTTGCAATGGATAATTAATTATGATAAGAGCATTTTTGAAGATTGTATCTCCTCGAAGAAGAAAAGGTGCCGTGAAGCGAGAGTCATCTCCCACGCACCCGCATCGACATCCAGTCGAGCAAATACCACACACTGTCTCCCACACACAATCTCGCACTGAACGAAAAAGGCACCAAGGGTGGAAGCGGTCCATGAGTCGGTTGCGGAATCATAGAACCAAGCTTGAAGTGGCCCAGTAACTGAGACTACTTTGTCATACTGGAACTTGGGTGTAGTGGATTGCCAACCAGGTAGCATGACCTGCAGGGGCTGTAGGAAAAGCAGAACAAGATCAGTCTATGGTGAGGGAGGAGCAGCACAGCACTAGAGGGTGTGATGTAGCAAGACCAGTGAGAACTTGGTGCTCCTAGTCGAAGATTTGTGAGTGATTGCCAATCTGGTCATTTGGAGCCAACACCCCTTATGAAAACCATGGAGACAAACTGCAAGAGTGGTGGTGACATGGTTGCAGCTTGGCAAGAAGCTTCAGGTTGCTCAGCCAGTAAGTAATAAATTTTAAAATTTTATATTTTTATGTAGAACAAAAATAAATGAATATATAAAGGATAATAATTTTATATTAGAACATAAATAAAAGGATAAAAATGATTGTAAATATAATTTAAGAATCAAATATTTAATATTTTATTTTTCATAATAACTTACTTAAGGTCCACTCATATAGATTATGGGTATTATATGATAAACATAACATAGATATATTTATATTCCTGCTTCAATTCAAAATTTTAGGGTATTATAGCTTAAAAGTTGAAAATTTAATATCATTTGTAAATTCATTTGGGTAGGGTTTTGCAAAAATTATATTTCTCAACTGCGATGTCAATAATGCAAAAGAATGTCAATCTAAGAAAAAATAAAAATTAACTCTCTTGTCTTTAAGCTTCAACCTACTTCTTTTAATATGGTTAAGATTGTTTAGCTCAAAAGCTTTACCATAAACAAATATAAAAGTATAAATTATGTTTAATTGATTGTGTCATAGAAAAATCTTGATTTTTGCATTGCAAAAATAAGTATTTAGTATGGGAAAACTAGATCTTTTGTTTATACAAGTTTGTTTTCCTTGTAAAATATTTTTCTTCTCAAATAGTTTTATTTACAAATTGACAATTAAATTGAAAATGATATTGAGAATGATATTTCGCTGAGCAAAACCAAAGTGGTAATCAAGACCAAAATGCCAATATTGATAATGTCACTGAAGTAAAATGTACAAAAGTTTCAAATTTAGATAGCTTAATTTTCTTTTTACTTTTTTAGATTGGCTCTAATATAGCTACTAAGTCACCAAGGTATTGCTATGCTCAAATCTACATGACATAAAAAACTTTTATTTTAACTTAACGTCATTAGGGTAGGAATTGCAACCTTATTATTCATATATAAGCTTATATATATATAGGTTGCAGAAACAATTTCCATTTGCAATGATCACAAACAACTTAGCTGCATAAACCAGAACCTTTTGAAATAGACATGGGTGACAACAAACCATGCTACTGAACAGACTTACATATTTTGGATCATTCTAATTCTAATAGCAAATTCAAGGTGATGTTGCCCCCACCCATGTTTTGCATCAACATTCGTGAACAGTTCTCCAACATCCCAGTCTGGAATTGGAGCTGTTGTAAACACTGTGTACACATTTTATTCCTTGAAGCCCATGTAAAAGCCCCCCAGAACTTGCTCTCTAGAACTGGCGAAATGGCGCGAAAGATATAAACTAGCCCCTATGTGAAATTTTAGGGCTTATCCAATCCAATGCTGCTGTGTGGATTGCTCCCGGCTCCTCGAGGATTCTGGGCGCCGGGGCTAGCATCGCGGAGGCAGAAGCGCACGGCTGCAGCAACGGCATTCTTTGCTCCGGTATGTCATCGATCGATTTGATCCATTAACATTTTGATTGCCAGGCTTTTGCGTCGCGGCCATACACGGCTGTGCTGATCGTCCCGACTGGAACTGGGGCCTGCATTGGCGGATACGCAGGCGATGCTCTCCCCGTCGCCAGAGCTCTGGCTTCCATCGTCGATTGTCTCATCACACATCCAAATGTAAGTGTCTAGAAAATTTCTAAGCTAGAGAGCTTAGCTTTTTTGGCTTAGGTGCTGAATGGAGCTATGCTTTACTGGCCGATGAGCAACGCCTTGTACGTCGAAGGCTACGCTCTCGATCGGTTTGCCGCTGGTGCCTGGGGTCTCAGCCCCGTCCACCGGAACAAAGTCGGTCTCGTCCTCGACGCCGGGATTGAGCAGGATTTGCGACTGAGACATCTACAAGTGGCTGATGCTGCTGCTGCAACTCTTGGAACTTCGATTTTCGAGCACGTCGTCACTGACGCATCACTCCAGGTACTGCTTATAGCTCTTAGCATTTTTCTTCCTTTCTTGCTTTCAAGGCCAAAGACGACTCGAAAATATATATGCCAGGTTGAGAAGTGGATCGATGGCAAAACCGGTGCTTCTACTGGTCGCATTGCCCGCTCTGATTCTTTGCTACGAGCTGTAGAGAAACTTGTCAGAGATGCTGCGATCGATGCTGTAGCCGTGGTAGCACGCTTTCCAGACGACGATGTGGAGGTGTTGAAAGACTATAGGCAAGGTCAGGTATACCATTCTTCAGTTTCAAAGACCTCGTGACGAAACTAAACTATCCTCGAAACAGGGTGTCGATGCTCTGGCTGGAGTCGAGGCTGTGATTAGTAAAATGGTGGTGAGTGAGTTTCACATCCCTTGCGCGCACGCACCAGCATTGGCTCCTTTGCCATTCGATTCGTCTGTTTCTCCTAGATCTGCCGCGGAAGAGGTAAGGACGCTGTTCTTCTCTTCTCTTAAAGCTCAATGTATGTTGCTTCCAGATTGGATACACCTTTCTTCCTAGCGTTCTCGCGGGATTAAGCAAGGCTCCTCAATATGTTAGCAGGGACAGCGATCACAGACCTCACCGGATATGGGCCGAGGACGTCGATGCAGTGCTAGTGCCGGTGAACGCCTGTGGAGGCGACGGAGTTCGTGCATTCAGTAAAAAGGCTCGACAAAAGGTACGTCATTTATAAACAGTTCCTTACTAGTGCGCGCCAATCCTGATTCTCGTTTCTCGTGCCACAGCCTCTGATTATTGCTGTGGAGGAGAACGTGACCGTCTTGAATGACACTCCGGAGAAGCTACAAATCGAAGCAGTAAGAGCTTTTCTTTCTTTGCAAATCGTCCTCTTGAAATCATACTTTTGTTCAGGTGAGAGCAGCCAACTATTGGGAGGCTTTAGGTGTTGTTGCGGCCCACAAAGCGGGGGTGAATCCCATGGCACTCAGAAGAGATGGAGTTCTCCACAACAGGGAAGTCAAGCTTCGACAGGTAGAGAGACTTTGTTCTTCCAGGCAATGAGATGATTCTTTTGCAGAAAACAAGGACACTAAGCTAGACTTTACGAAGCGATTCTTAACGGTTTGTGCTTCCTTTCTTGTAACTGACACTCAAATTTATCGTTTGCTCCTGTCACTACTTCAAGACTAGAGATAAAGAACTATACACCCAACTTTTGTGTACGAACTTAGAGACGTATCCGAAGGATTTCTTTGATCTGGCAGAGATGGTGATGAGCGCATTTGCAGGACAGGGTGTCGGTTTTGGTAAGTCCATGAATCTCAATTTCCATCATTCCGCAATGGATAACTCCGCAATGGAACTTCAAGCAGGTATTGGAATTGGGTGTGGTTTTGGGATTGGATGGGGATTCGGAGGTATACGTATTCCTCTACATCTTCTCTGTTTTCTTAGATTTTCAAGCTCAATTGCAGGAGTGTCGATACCAACAATGGGACTCGGCATAGGTGAGTGAGATCTCTCACGTTTTCTAATACTTTGCTTTGAAGGTGGTGGATGTGGGGTGGGGATTGGGCTTGGCTGGGGATTTGGAGCAGCGGCACTTGGATCCCAATACTTTAACGCCAAGAACGAGTTCGATCCAGCCACCACATATCCACAAGATAAGTCTGACAAGCACAAACAAAAGCCTTTGACCCAGTCAAAGAGTCAATGAGAGCGCGAGAAAGTCAACCCTCTATAAATTGGATAGATTTAAAAGCTGCCATGGTAGAATTGCGGCTGACTTGCTTCCACGAAGAGAGAAATCTCTGTCTCTACACAGGCCGCAAGGGTCTCGTGGTCGCGATTCACTGGCATTCACTCACCGACACCCAACCAAACCAGATAAAACGCGGTTGACCCCCATGTCAACGCGCGTCAACGCGACGATCATTTCCCTGGGCTCTATAAAACATTGCTCGATCCTCCAAATCCAAGCATTCCTTCCAGGCCCCCTTTTCCCTAGATCTTTCTCGCGTATTGCATCACAGCGTTTGTTTGTCAGGAGAGGAAGTCTCCGTCTCCAAGGAGGAAACTACAAAATGGCTCTTTCCAAGGCCTTGCAGCAGCTCCTGGCCGTGCTGCTACTTCTCAATCTCGCCTTCTTGCTCGTGTCCAGCGCCAGAGATCTCGCCGAGAACCCCGAGAAGGACGAGGAGCTCAAGAACAACGACGCCGCTACAAAGTCACTCCACCACGATGACGACGATGGTTATGGACGAGGAGGCTATGGCGGGTATGGGCCGGGATACGGCGGGTACGGGCGTGGTGGTGGCTATGGGCCGGGGTATGGTGGTGGTGGCTATGGACCGGGATATGGTGGCTATGGGCCGGGATACGGTGGTGGGTACGGACCGGGCCATGGCGGATACTATGGACCCGGCTATGGTGGCTACGGACCTGGGTACGGATATGGGCGTGGAGGATACGGACGCGGTGGAGGGTGGCACCATGGACACGAGGTGGATCAGCCATGAATGATCAAAGGATTATACTACTTTGTGTGCTTTGTAATATTCCTTCCCGCTCAAATATTTGAATTTGAAAACGTTGGTTTGAAAATTCCCGCGGGATGTTTCCATGAATTTGATCGTTTGATTTTTCCGAGTTTTAAGACCAAGGACCAAGACCAGGACCAAAGACGTGATCTAGACGGCAAGAGTCCGTGTGATGGATGCTTTAAATGTGAGCTCTCTTCTTCGTGAGATCCAGTGGAAGCAAGACTTAGAAAGAGGGCATTCTGGAATTGTGAGAAATTAAGATGGCTTTTCCACGCACCTCCTTCGTCTTGCTAGTGATGCTTTGGGCGATTGCTGTTCGCGGACAAGATTGCAATGGTTTGGTGACGACGGTGATATCGCAATGCTCGGGTTCTTACGGGAATGGAAGCCCTCCCAGCGCTGGCTGCTGCAGAGCCGCTAGAGCGGTGTCGAACGGGTGTTTGTGTCCCAAAGTCACGCCCCAGATCGCCGCTGCGGTCAACAAGCAACGTATCCAGGCCATGGCATCGGCTTGCAATAGGCCCTTGCCAAGAACTTGTGGAGGTATGAAACAAGCATCTTTTCGGGCTGATCTAAGATTAATCTGTGCATTTTGCAGCTCTACAATTCTAAAGTCGAAAATAATTTGATGTCTATGATTTTATAAATGATGAAGTTATTGAATATATCGTCCGAGTAGCTCATAGTGGATGAACCCGCCGTGAAAGGATCCGTGGCGCAAGTCTGACTCCAGATCAGAAGGTTGCGTGTTCGAATAAGTTTTAGATTCGATTAAAGTCATAACATGGCATTGCCGCGGAAGCTTCGTCCCACCACGGACGAGCTCTGCGTAGATCTCCATTTGCTTCGTCTTCTCCTCTTCCTGCTTCATCTTCTCTTGTCACCTTTAGCTGCCCTTCCAGCCTTCCACTCGCGATCCTTCCTGTTGCCGCGCTTCTCGCACCTCCCGCCTCTTCTCGGCCGCGGACGGCTGGCATCTCTGAACTAGTCTCTACAGTCTTGGAGTGATCCAGCACCACCCTTGCATTTGTAGACAGATGCGCTGGCGTCAAGGAGTGTTCCAGGTCCCAGTATCGCGTCGTAAACCCTAAACCTCCATGACGGACTTAAAACATTTTCATTGTCATTAAAAAATTACATGATGTAAACTCAACGCTAATGCACTAAAGTTGTTACAATGTCTCTCTTCCAAGAAAACTAGTCGTAGTACAAACCTTTCATATCAAAAGAGCAACGTAGTAGTAGCAAGTGCAGCTGGCAAAAATCCACCAAAGAAACTCTCACCAAACTTCCGGGCGTCGGACCTTTCCGCCAGCGGACCTTCTGCGGCGACTGGGGCCTCGGCACTTGTCCCATTTTCGGCTGCCGGAGACGAGCTCGAGGAGCTCGACGAGGAGGAATTTGATGAGCTCTGCACGGGAGGAGGAGACGTAGCCGAGGGTGGTGGAGAAGGAGAAGACGAAGGCGAAGGTGGCGGAGCCGGCTTTGGAGCCGGAGCTGGCGCTTGAACAGCCTTTGGTGGCGGAACGGTGGCCGGAGGAGCAGGCGACGGTGCAATGCTGGCGGGCGGCGTGGAGTGGAGTGGGAAGATCTCGGGTGGAAGAAGCACCGCGTCCAGAGCATACACCCCGACTGGGTCGTCCTCCAAGAGAGTGGCAATCACGTTTGCGGTGGACACCCCGGTCGCAATCGCCAGTCCCCCGGAAGGCCCCTCGCCGCTGGCATTCACCTCAAAGTTCCTGTTAGACGTGGCCAGCGTCGTGAGCGGAGCCTTCAGCGTCCGGAGCGATCCAAACGTGAAGAATGACGGCAGGAGATGGTAGCGGACGAGCAACTGGCGCTGCGACTGCGTGAGCGCTGCCAGAGATCCACTGGGGAGGTTCTGGAACGCGCTGTCGGTGGGAGCAAACACCGTCACCCCGCTGGTGAAGGGCTGGTGCTCGATGTCCTCGGCCGCCGCCAGCGTCCCGGTGTCCTGCATCAACTTCTGGAACGTCTTGTAGATGTTGCCTTTGAAGAGCGCGTTGGAGATGCTGGGGAAGTGGTCGGGCCTGTTCATCTGCGCCAGGCGGACGGGCATGAGAGGCTTGCTGATCATCATGAAGCTCATGTTGTAAGGATAGCGCACGAAGTTATTGAGAACGGTGGCGACGGGACCTGAGGCGTGGGGTGGCGGGAGCCCGAACTGGATGTCGTTCCCGAAGGTCATGTTGACGAAGCCATCGATCCCTTCGGCGCGTCCAGTGGTCTGGTAGAGCGTGGTGATGAGCAGCCCGGACTGGTTGGTCATCTGCATGATCTCTTGGGTGTCGAGGTACTGGAGCAGGACGTGGTAGCGGCAGAAGTCGGCCACGGCCCAGACGTGCATCCCCTCGAGGTTGGCCCCTACGTAGCTGTCGAGGATGGAGTTGTCCGGGACGAGGATGGTGAGCGAGGAGCGGCTGTTGATCTCTGCGGTGACGTTGGTCATGGAGAGGAGCCGGCTGAATGTGGAGAAGTTCGTGTTCACGGGCGCCGAGTTCTCCAGCACCACCGTCACGTTTTGAGCTCCGCAAAGGCTCGCCCATGGAAGGATGATGATCGCCATCGCTGCGAGAGAGCAGACCAGGGCGAGGCTGGCCTGCCGGTGCTGCTGCTCCACACTCATAGCGATCACAAGTTCTTTCTCAAGATTGTCTGATCCTAGCTTGCCTGCTCCATAAGATCCACACAAGATCGATCACTGGAAAAGATTTACTACAAAGAAAGAATGGAAAGAATCGAAAGAAAATGCGAGCGCTGGATTGATACCAATCCTCTATGAAAGAAAGAACACACACCTTGCTTTGGTTTCTCCTTCCTGGCCGACGAGGCTCTTTCTTTGCTCGCTTAAACCTCTGTTAAGACCCTAGAGCGTCTCGTTGGGTTAATAACGGGTAGCAGCCACGTCAGCAGCGTGACGTGGGAATTAAAGGCGGCGCTCAAACGGAATAACAACATGTGGGTTAAAAACAAAGCAACGGCTCCGGATCGAATGGCCAGCACGTGGACGGCCGGATTGGATTGGACTAAATCTTCTGGATGGATAAGAACATTCGTTGGAATATCCTGTTCTTAATCTATTCGTTGGTTCTTCCAATGTTTTAGCGGCGCTGGAAGTTGAGGACGCGGATGCAAAACGCGAACATAAATGCGAAGAAGGCTGCGAATCCAAACAACACGGCCGCCACCACGCCAAGGAACTGTTGATCGTAGTCGAAGTAGTCTTTAAGGAAGAGCTTGATGGGCTTGCTGGGCTGGCCGGGGATTTGGAGCTCCGAATTCACGTCCCCATACTGGGACGTAATGAGGCCATAGACGGTGTAAGCAACGGGGCAAATCCACACATACCACTGCCACCACTTTGGAATTTTCTGCAACGGGATGAATTCCCCGGTGTTAGTCCAGTAATCTATCACTTTTATGAAAGACAAAGACTATACTCACGGGTTTTGGTATGAGAAAGCCCGAGAAGAGGTTGAAGAGCGAGTAGAATGCCGACGCGAGGATGCCCGCGATCTGGTAGTTTGGTGTGATCGCCACGGCCATCATCCCGTAGTATGTGAAGTAGAGGAAGGTGAAGAACATGACGTAGAGGTACCAGAAGAACTTCGAGGCTTTCCACTCGAACTGGATCATGGCGTAAGTGATGCCACCGTACATGAGCGTCTGGAAGAGAACGTATGGTATCTCGACGATGACCTGCAAAGTTTGCGGCAATCTTGCATTAGCTATAGCTGTTTGCGTAGATATAGATCGAGAATACCTGTGCTAAAGCGTAGGGAAGAGCCGAATACATTCCTGCCGCTCGCTCCCTGTAAAAGACGGTCCTTTCCGTGGCGACGACGGGCTGAACTGTGGCACTGTTATTTACACCAAGAAATATGACAGCCCCGTACATCGCACCCATCACGTTAAGCAAGTCGGACTGATTCTCCCTGTCGAGCACAGAAAAAAACACACGCTTAAAGTTTCGGCAGAGAGAAGGTTTGACAGACTTTTACCTCTTAAGTCCAAACTTCCAGAAAATGGTTCCGAAGAGAAGAGCGGAGAAGAGCGTAAAACATAGCCTGACGCAGTTGTAGTCGGGGCTTCTCCAGTATGTCAAGTTCTGCTTCCACAGGCATGAGCAAAATTGTGTAAGGAATGGTTGGGAGTATTTTGTTGGAAAGTATAAATCACTGGCTCCTGGAGCAGGGGAGGAGAGCTCCTTCACCAGTGCTATGTTACGCCTGCAAAGTTTATATCAAAATATATTAAGCTACATTGAGAAAAACATAACGACTTACTGAAACAGCGGAGAGTTGAGATAGCGCTGAGCAAAGTCGGTGTTGAGGCTATGCTCTGTTGAAGGTGACGTTACTTCGAGCATCCAGGCAGCAGGATTAGTTCCATCTCGGTATCTAGTGACTCCAGGAACGGCCTGTGCAAGGGTTCGCCGTCGTCAGTTCAGTTAATTCCCTGTATAGACTTACAACCTCGAAGTACTCGATAAGCTTGTGAGAACGTTTTCCTAAAGGTCCTGCGTATGTCACCTGGCCACCGCGCTTAAGGAGAAGCAACTGCAAAAGAGACAAATAATTCATTCTTTCGCAATCAGCTTAAAGGTCAGCAAGTACCTCATCAAACGCTTCAAAAATATCGATGCTAGGCTGATGTATTGTACACACAACAGTCCGTCCAGTATCAACAGTATTCCGAACGGTTCGCATGACGATTGCAGCAGCTCTGGCGTCCAGGCCAGAGGTCGGTTCGTCCATAAAGATGATAGAAGGATTGGCAACAAGCTCGACAGCGATCGTCAGTCGCTTTCTCTGCTCTGTAGAGAGACCACTGACTCCTGGAATACCAACAAGTGCGTCCTTGACAATGTCCAGTTCAACGAGTTCCATGACTTCGTGAACAAAGAGCTGCCACAAAAAACGCAGATGTCTGATCTGAGTTACATTTCGAAACTACGTACCTCCTGAGTGTTGCGATCGACTTCATTTGGGAGCCGAAGTCTGGCCGAAAACAACAGCGATTCGTAAATAGTAACTTGAGGGGAATGGATGTCCGACTGCTCGCAGTATCCTGAGATTCTTGCAAACGTTTCTTGTTTCTTTGGAAAGCCAGATATCCAAATATCCCCTTCGATGTAGCCACTGGTTTTCCTTCCAGCAAGCACGTCCATCAATGTAGTCTTTCCAGCTCCACTCACACCCATCAATGCTGTTAAAACTCCGGGTCTAAATGCTCCAGTAATATCGTGCAGAAGCTCCAGCCGGCTCTCTGTCAACCCTTGACTTTTCATCTCCTGCACATAGAGCTGTTAGCGACATTCTACAGTTGAGCTAGCGACATAGATATTACGGCGGGCATGTCCACGTAGTACTTAATATCCTTGAATGCTATTGCCAGAGGCTGAAATGGCAGTATCATTCCTCGTCTATCGGACAGCTGACGGGACGAAGTTGATGCTGAAGCCTGCATCTCCACTTCACCTGAGAATAGCAATGCAAACATTAACGTGAAGCACGTCAGGTATAAGCGCCAAACCAGTACTGTTGCTGTGTTTATGCTCGGATGGCATGGATTCACGTCTAGATGACAATATTCTCTTCTGATCAGAAACAGGTTGCTCAGATAGAGCTCTCTTCGCACTTAAAGCTGCAAAGACAAAGGGTACAGCTGCTATACGTGGGAACGGATAATGGAAGCTTACGATTTAAATGAGCGAGCGCCAGTGTAAAAAGAACATTGAACAAAAATACGAAGCCTATAAGGCCACCAACCCCGATCCAATACCAGTTCGCCTCTGTAAAGAGGCCGCGATCTTGCAAAATAGCCTTTCCGAGGGTCATATTGCGGCCGGGAACTTGCTGCAAAATAAACATCTTAGAACGATGCAAAAATGAAACAAGAGAATCAACCTTGTCCCATTCAGGTGCAAGCATCTCGTTGACGCTTATAGCATTTTCAGCGTAAGTCAGGGGCGAAATCCAATATCCCCATATCCACCACTTCGGAATTTCAGCTGCAGAAAAGATTGGTTTGACGAACAAACAACATCATGGTTTAGTGCCAAACCTCTAGGAATGATAAAGCCTCCCAGCATGAAAACGATAAGGAGTGCAACGGAACCTCCCGTATTTGCCACCACCATAGTTCGACATACTCCGGCAATAAAACGAAACATAGCGGAAGACATTTGGTGCAAAACGAAGAGAAGCAAATACTGCCGGAAAAACCTACACAGAGCAAATAACTAAGAGGTTTAAGCCGGAATACTCTCGTACCTTCCAGCAGCAGGTGCAAAGCCGATAACATAGTACGTCATGGCAATAAAAATTGTCACTTCGACAATAGACATTGGTATCCTGGACACGATCATTGGTAGAGCAAAAGCCCAAGAGGGATAGAATAGCAGATCCCGTTGCTTGTAGAATATAGGCAGCCGCGTCAAAGTCATCGGTAATTCGCCAAACCCATTGAACATGATCATGATCAGAGTAAAAAACAGAGCTCCCAGAAAATAGAAACCATCTTGCTCGTTATCGCGGTGCATTTCAGTGCGAAGGAAAACCGTCATACCAATGAAAGCCACGATACATATCTGCGAAAACACGTCACATGACGATTCCGTAATATATAAGCATACCTGAACTCCCTTGAATATGAAGATGAAAGAATTTCGTTTGACCAGCAACCATTCCCTCGCGAAGCAAACTTTGAAGAGATCCCATCCGCCAATAGCATACTTGCTAAACTCTAGTGCTGCTTTATGACTTCGTTCTTTGTCAAACGGGCATGAAAATTCTTCGGCCAGCAGTTCACCAGCACGAGATTGCTTAAAGTGCTGCACGAAGTCATTCACCGAAACATATTCGTATGGTTTAGTTTTGTCCCACCAATATTGAGCTTGATCTTTCTGAGAAGTAAGCTGGAAGTGAACGATGTCATCAGCGACACAATCATTGACAAAACAAAAGGGGACAGAGATACCTCTTGCAGAAAATCGGCTACACCCTTTCTTTCAGGACATTTGAATCCACAGGCCTCAAAAAACTCGAGAACAAGTTCCCGAGGCCCTTGATAAACAATTTGACCCTCTGACAACAAAATAATGTCGTCGAAAAGCTCAAATGTCTCAGGTGCAGGCTGAAGTAGAGACATTAGCACGGTGCTCTCCAGAAGATGGACAAACTGCTGGAGACATTTCACAATTTGGAATGTCGTTGAGCTATCCAGCCCAGTGGAAATCTCATCCATAAAGAGAGTCCGAGTGGGTCCAACAATCATCTCCCCTGAAGCAGTTTGAAACAGGAAGTGAAGACCACGGTTTACAAGTTTTCTTACCGGTTGTAACTCGTTTCTTTTGGCCGCCAGATATGCCTCTGAGCATGTCATCTCCAACTAACGTGTCTGCGCAAAGATCCAATCCAAGAATCTGTAGCATGGAATATTTAAACGGAAAACACGACGAAATAAACAAATAGATCACTCACTTTCATCGAATACTCAGTCACAAGGCTGCTATGTAGGCCTTCCACTGCAGTTGCCTATTGGAAGACAACGAGCTGGTTAAACGCAGCTTAAAAACTGTGAAGACTTACTTTCATAAAGAAGTCGATGTCGGCCTCAGGAAAAATGCCGGCTCGTTTTTCTCTCCTAGCCAGCTCTGCCAACATTTCTGTAGAAATCCCCTAGAGGTGAATAAGGTTAACATGCCTGACTGAAGAAGACTGACGGACCAGGGTAGCTCAGTACTCACCATATCTTGCTCCAACACCTTGGCATTGCGATGAGAATTCTAGAGTTTCTCTGACGGTCAGTTCTCCTAGATGAAAATCGTGCTGGCTGATATAGGCTGAGGTCTTCTGAGGCACAAACTCTTCAAGAGAATGACCGTTGTATGAAATCTGGCCCTCGACCTGGATTACATGCGATGTCATTTAAAGGGTGATCTTATGACTTCAGCTTACCTTCAGGGCGGGATCGAGCTTTCCCGCAAGAGCAAGTAGCAAACTGGTCTTTCCAGAACCAGGTGGACCGAGCAGCAGAGTCATCCTGTATGACAAGACAATAAGAAACAAAACGACCACCAGTTCTAAACATACCTCCCAGGTTTGATAATACCACTGACGTTGTGAAGTATAGTCATGGACGTCTTCTTCATTGGCAACAATTTAGATGCGTCTAATATCCCCTGTATCACCGAAAAAGAAAGGAAAACAATGTCAAGTACAGAAAAAGAAAAAGAAACAAAAAGAAGAACCTCGATGGTATTTCGGGTAGCGTTCCACAGAGTTGGCAAAGCTCTCGTTCCGAGATAGCAGTCCGCTTGTACAGTGACATCTTGAAAACGCACCTCGATAGTAGGCAATTGTATAGAAACTCTATAGAAGCAAACAAAAAAAAAGAAAAAAAAGGATCAGTCAAAGAAATAAACTCCAAAGAACACACATACCTGTCAATGCGCTTTCGAAGCTTGCGCAAGAATTTCTCGTTATCCTCCTCGGTGACTTGGATGAGCTTGTTTATGAATTCCTGGCGCTCCACTGGACCGATGTTCTCGATGCTCACCACTTGGCGATTTAACCTGTTGCCTTCGACATAATTGGTGAGAATGGTAGTGCCCAGGCGATCATAGGTAGGAAGCCTCTCGATTGCCGCCCATTTGAGCGCCTCCTCGTCGTCCTCGGCATGCTGCTGGTACACGGATTGCCCAAACACACTATCCGAGCTCAATCTCCAGTTCCTCACGCTCCCACTCCGGGTACTCCTCGAGCGCTGGAGCTCGTTCGCCCAGGCGCCCAGAGATTCCAGCGACACCGACTGCGCCATCCAAATCTGGCGAAATCTTAGCTCCGCCGGCCGAGATTACGAGCTATCCTAGGCATCTGCGGCAATGCAGCCAGGGATTTCCGCCCACCGTGGCGACAGCTGCAAGAACAAGAAAGCTCCAACCACGAACCGATTGAATGCCGGATTTAAAGCTGGAATCCGCCGAGAAGATCGTGCTTCCGGTGGCGCCATCGCCATCGCTGCGCATTCCCCTCCATAAAGCTCTCTTTGTGTGACCATGCGATGCGAGGCATATGCTTCGTAAATATACCACCGCGCGGTGGAATGCCCATACAGTACCACGGCCCCTTTTTCTAAATCTAGTAATTTCTCATTCACCCGTTACTTTGAACGGCGGGAGAAATGAATGATGCGAGTGTACTAAGTTTACTTTTACTTTACCTGGCCCCCCTTGCATGATGTTACTTTTGCCAGCGATGGACATTGATCTGTAACGTCCGGCAGGGATCCTGCCACGGTAGGGGCAATAGATCGCGACCGTCCAACCAAAGCCTTACGAAACGAATGTGACGGCCTTCCACACAGAAAGAGAATGCGTGGCTTTGGTTGGAACAAACTCCCGCGCAAAATACTTGTGAGGGATCGCGAGCAAAATTTTCGTGACAAAACCGACCGATCTCACTCGAGAAACAGAAATTCTCTTGGTCTTGATCGATCTAGAAGAACTCCATTGACTCCATATGGTGCCTCGAAACTATTCCGAATGGATAATTCGCCATGCTTTAGTGTTCTCCATGCATGACCGTTCTAATCGCGCTAAGAACGTAAGAAGACATTTAACTGGTAATTATTCCAAACAAACCAATTTGACCTTACATGGCCATTCCATACCTGGCTATTCCATACTATATAAACGTGAGAAATACAAACCAAACCATAGAAGTAACATAGAAGTTGAGAGATGGAAGCGCTTAGGGTTCTTACCATTGTTTTCCTTGCATGCATCTCGATATCTCAAGCTGTGACTCCTCCTAGCACGAATCCGCAAGTACAAGGCCTGTTTGTTTTCGGGGACTCAGCATTAGACGGAGGAGAGAACACGTACATCCCAGGCTCCAAGATTGTCAGTGCAGTTCCGCCGTATGGAAAGACGTACTTCAGCAAGCCAACAGGGCGTTGGACAGATGGTAGAACGATTGCAGATTTCCTGGCTCAAGCATTGGGGCTTCCGTTGTTGCCACCTTTCCTCGAGCCCGGCGCCAACTTTCTCAGTGGGGTGAACTTCGCATCTGCCGGTGCAGGATTGTTAGATGAGACGAATGCGCATCACGTACGTATAATCTCATAATTTTCCTCTTCTATGGCTGATTTGGATTTTGGGTTTTATTTTTTCTGGTTATATCAGGGAGTTATTTCAATGAACCAGCAGCTACGCCAGTTTCGCAACGTCACAAATGAGTATAGAAAGGAGAAGGGTGTGGAGTTTACAAACCATCTCTTGAAGAATTCTGTCGCTTTGTTTAGCATGGGAGCTAATGATATTGCTAATGCTCTTCCAAGCCCATACCTCTTCCAGCAGATGATCCAGGCATACTCGAGTGCTATCCAGGTACAAAAGTCTTGAAGTGTTTCTCTAACTTCAAATATTTATTTTGATTAACAGGAAATTTACAGTTATGGTATTAAACATATCATAATTCTCCTAGTACCACCAATTGGATGTACTCCCAACTTGAGGGCACTATCAGCACAAAGCAGGAACACCAATTTAACTCCAGAGGGTTGCACAGGAATCATTAACATTCTTGTGGATGCATACAACACACAACTCCAGAATCTCGCTATAAAACTTCACCATGACTTTCGTGAGTTGAACATTGCAACACTGAATCCATCTCCAGTTATCATGAACGTGTTGAGGAATCCTCAAAAATATGGTGAGTACAACAACTAAATTTCCATTTGTACTAATTTGTCTATATCAATCTAGGTTTCAAAGAGGCAGAGAAGGCATGCTGTGGTGGTGGACCGTTTAATGCAGCAGAGTTTTGTGGGGATGCTGACAAGCATGATTGGAAGCCAGACCACAAAAATAAATATGCCAAATTTGTGTGTGACAATCCCAAGGACTATTTATATTTCGACAGCAATCATTTTACTGAGGCTGGTTATTGGTTTGTCATGAAGAATTTCTGGTATGGGTCATACAACATTGCAAGGCCCAGTAGCCTCAACTTTTTTTTCGCTGGATTTAATGTTCCAAACCCACCCCCAAGGCCTTGAAATTTACAATCTTTTAACAATTAATTAAATTTCCTCTTTTTCTTTTTCTTGTTCTTCTAAAATTCTAAGAATTTAATCAATAATTTGTCTAATAACTTAACATATTTATTATATCAAGAGAATCAATATAGATCTTTTGGCGAACGAGGCTTTGAACGAGCTTTGAGAACCTTAGTCTCTTTTGATTCATCTTTATGAAACAAACCATGGATATATAGTCTAGAGGAACTTCCGTTCGCCAGCACCGGACGAACCAAACCTTGAGCTTAGTCCCTGTGCCATCGACTTGGCATCGAGTTTCACGGACTTCCTCCCTGCTGCCAGATCGTTCTCTCGGTCCCATGGCTTCCACGGATGCTTTCCAACCCAATCTTCAACCGGTTGGCTCTTCTTGTTCCCGGCGTTTTTCTTCTCGGACGCTTCTCGTTTATGCTTCTCGACT